GCCCTTAAAGTGAGTCTTATAAAAGTTGGTTTAAAGCATGCACCCGTGTGTGTGTGTATGCACGCCCCCACCCCTGCGCCCTCACCCACTCCCCCATTCCTCTCCAATCCTCTGTATCCCACCTCCACCGCTACCCTGGCCTGGCTTTTTCTTGTGCCTTCTATCACCTGGGTATCACCATGCCCCTTCTAACACACGGTGCTCATTGGATATGAACTTGATCAGTGAGCCTCCTGTGCTGTAGATCTTCGGTTGAATAAACCTTTTAAAATGACCCGGCTGAAAAATAAATAAACAAACAAACAAATAAATAATAAAAAAACCAACAACAACAAAAATAAAATGACCCGGTTGGTCACGTTCAGTTATAACAACAGGGAGTTGTAGTGATAGGAGCGGCAGGGCTGCGTCCCCAGCACCCGGGCTGCCTACAGGGCTAGCTTATGCCCCGAAATAATTACACGGAAACTGTATTCTTTTAAACACTGGCCCGGCTAGTTCCAGTTTCTTATTGGCTAGCTCTTACATATTAATCTAACCCATTTCTAATAATCTGTGTAGCCAGCGAGGTGGCTTACCAGAGAAGATCTTAACCTGCGTCTGTCTGGAGTGGGAGAATCATGGCGACTCCTGACTCAGCTTCTTTCTCCCAGCATCCTGTTCTGTTTTCTCCGCCTACCTAAGGGTTGGCCTATCAAATGGGCCTAGGCAGTTTCTTTATTAATAAGAAATCACTCCCACATCATTTCCCCTTTTTCTGTTTAAACAAAAAAGAAAAGCTTTAACTTTAACATAGTAAAATTACATATAACAAAACAGTTATCAAGTAAAAATTACAATAATCTTTATCATAACTAAGGAAAACTATAACTATAACTAACCATTCTTCAACTCCATCAAAGACTCCAGAAGGATATAATATTACCTAAGTAAACAAGAAATAAGAAAACTCTAGAAATGACAGAGACATCTCGCTGCCTGGACAGTCACCCAAAGTTCTTTGGTACCGTTGGGGTATCCATCTTCAGCCTTCAGGCTCATAGTATCCAGCAGACATTTTCATCAAGCAGGAAATTCCAAAGACAGTTCAGTCACTATCTGCTGTGTCCTGCAGAATGTCTTGCAGACTCTTTCTTGAGTCAGAAACCCTGAAAGACTATCTCACCTTTAGGCAAGTTCAGCAGTCCTTTTTCTGCGGGTTCTCTGTGTCCAGTTTATGCAATAGTCCAGGCAAGAGCAGTTTCTTGCCCAAATGACTATCCAACTCCATAAGGATCCTCTTCGATGCCCATCTTCCTCTCGAAGTAGCTGGTGCTACCAGGAGCAGACGTGTCTCATTGTCATGAAAATCCCTAAGTTATTAAAATATTTTAAATGCCATATTCTGCAGTCTTTGAAAGATATGAAGAATGCCTAACTGAAGTATATATATATCTAGAAAATCTAACTCACATGACTACAAGTTTTACTATTATCAATGATTATCCATTAACAACCTATATTTCCTAATATACATTACATTTTAAATGAACTATACAATCACAATACCTTAATCAATATCAGAAATATATATATATAACAATATTGACCTTAAAATCCATACCAATGCAAATTATATCTATATCATATCCCCCTTTAAATGTAAAAACATTTATAAACAATCACCAATTCCCTTCTAACACACGATGCTCATTGGATATGAACTTGATCAGTGAGCCTCCTGTGCTTTAGATCTTCGGTTGAATAAATCTTTTAAAATGACCCAGTTGAAAAAAATAAATAACAACAACAAAAAAATGACCCGGTTGGTCACGTTCGGTTATAACAACAGGGAGTGACTCAAGGCAGTCATTCACAGGGATTTAACTGTTTAAAGACCCAGGGAAATGGTTGACGGGAAGATGAAAGTAACTGGGGGGAGAGAATGCAGCCAGGGAGTCAAAGTTCACACGCACTCGCTCAGAGGCAGAGTGCTTCCCTGATGCGCAATTCCCAGTGGAGAGACACGCCATACTATCTCAGTTCTATGGGAGCATTGCTGTTTTGTTTTGAAATTTGAGAAAACAGGTTCCAATTTGTCCAGACAGTAATAAATAACAGAACTGAGCTCAAGCCATTTCTCCTGACTTCCAAATCCATTTTTCGTTCCCAGGGCTAGCGTTACTTTTTAGTTTTTTGAGGCAGGATCTCTCTACATAGCCCTACTATCCTGGAACTCACTGTGGAAGCCAGGGCTGGTCTTGAACTGACAGACATCCTCCTGCCTCTGCCTTCTGACTGCTGGGCTTAAATGCATTCCTTCCTCTTTTCCCCTGCTCTTTGGCTTCTTTTCTTAGGAAAGACAGTTTGCTAGGCCAGGACCCCTCTATGCATCAGAACGTCGGCAGCCTGAGCTCATGAGATGCAGGAAAAATTGCCATGCTGTCTTTATTAAGTGCTAGTTAGCTTCCTTGTTTGGGGCTCGTTGGCTTTGTTTTCTTTTGTGTATATGTGTAGTGTATGCATGTGTGTCCATGTGTGCATATGTGTACAGAGGCCAGAGAAGATCCTCCTGGGTCCTGCTGTGTCTGCCTTATTCCTCTGACACCGGGTCTCTCGGCCTGAACCTAGGTTGGTGGCCAGCAAGCCCTAGCAATCATTCCTGCCTTCTGCCCCCACATGATGCTACAGATGCCCACACTACCCTTTCCAGCTTTCTATGTGGGTGCTACGATACAAACTTGGGTCTTCCCACTTCCATAGCAAGGATTCTTACCCTTTGAGCCATCTTTCTTTCTTGAGACAGGTCTTCACTGTGTAGCCCTGTAGTTTTAAACTCAAATTCCTGCCTCATCTTCGCAAACGCTGGGATTACAAGCATGAATCACTAAGCACAGCCAGTTTTTATCTTTTAATTTCTTGTTACTTCCTATTATTTATTTTTTCCTTTTAAACTGTCAAAGGCTAAAATATGATGACATCAAAACTTGGCTGATGGGGAGGGTAAAATTTAGATCATCTGTTAATGTTTTCATAGTGTTTCGAATGGTACACCGACTCACTGTGCTAGCTTGCCTCGCTGGCCCAGAAAGCACCGCTCTTCACATCTTGATGGATTTACTTTCATGTCTTTTGCATTGTGAATAAAAATATACCAAAGTTGAAATAAAAAAAAAAACACAATAACTTTTGAAAAACACCAGTAAGGTCCACGGCAACGGCTCAGTCGGTAAACATGCTTGCCACCAAGGCTGACAACCTGAGCTGGATCCTGGGATTCACAGGGTGAGGGAGAGACCCAACAGCTCTGACCTTCACACCAAACCTTGGCACAATCATGTGCACACACACACAAAGATTGTTGTAAACACCACTAGATAGTGTTCTTACGTTGTTTTTATCATTAGTGAAGATGACGGAAGGGCTGACTTTTTTTTTTTTTTTTTTTCCGAGACAGGGTTTCTCTGTGACTTTGGAGCCTATCCTGGAACTAGCTCTGTAGACCAGGCTGGTCACAAACTCACAGAGATCCAGAGATCCGCCTGCCTCTGCCTCCCGAGAGCTGGGATTAAAGGCGTGCGCCACCATCGCTCGGCCTGACTTGTTTTAATAGATTCGCATCCAACTTTCCATTCACAGCTTGGCGGGTCAGTGGCTGCGGAGGAACTGCTCTGGTCACTATACACGGCCCACTCCGTTACTGCTTCCGATCCATTTCTCCCATCGTACTGTACAACATCATGATGTTGTTTGATGGAGTGGGGCCACAGGAAGATGGAGACAGCGGTGCCCATGAGTAGAACAACATCCAGCCAGTCATAGAACTTTGAAGGTGCTGAAGGATGAAGAGAGACACCTGCCAACTGCCCAGGAGCCAGCAGCCACCAGAAGGGACCCAGATGTGTGGACAGTGCCCCCTGCTGGGGGTGTCACCTCATCGCTCTGGTCACTGGTCCTAAAGCTACCTGTTTTCACTGGACTGTCGGCCGTGGACAAACAGCATTTCGTGTTGATTGGTAGTTACTTCACAATTTTGAGTCTTGTTTCCAACCTCATCAATTACATAAAATCTGGTAGCATAAATTTATGAAACTGGAATGTATAGGCCAAAGGGTATGCAGAATTCCAGTTGGCATTTCCTGAACTCTTTTCCGTGATGATGGGCGCATGGATGTAAGTATTTGGGAGGGATCTTGCTGATGCTTCAAGTGCACGTAGACTTTTTATCAAAGTAGCTCACTTTTAGGAATTCTGTAGTAATTATCATTGTATCTATCAAAAAGGACACGGACAAGTTGTAGCACTGTTTGTAACGAATGAATGCTGTAGCTTATCAGAATGGCCACCACAGCGAAGTATTTGTTATTTGGTTGGATTATAGCTAATCTTACTCAAGCGTTGATTAAAAAAAAAAAGACCAGCCGTAATTTATTTTTGTGGCTGCTTCATAACTATTGTTTTGCCGCTGCTATGAATGGTAATGTGTAAATATCTGTGCTTTCCGATGGTCTTAGGCGACCCCTGGGGAAGGGTCGTTCAACTCCCAAAGGGTTCGCGACCCACAGGTTGAGAACCACTGAACCAGCGGCTGACACAAATTAATGAGTATCAGGATGGAAGGAGGTGGCACCATGCTCTCTTGGTTTTAGTGATAGTTTCAGGCTGTAGATGGATGTCAGAACTTACCTAGTTGTATACTTTAGATATGTGTAGTTCGCTGTGTATCAGGCATTTCTTTGGAGCTGTTGAACAGGACAGCTAGTATTCAGTGTAGAACCATGCTTTGGGATCTACTAGTTATACAATCTTAGTTTAACCAGACCGTTATTGGGATCATGGCACACATACGTTCAAGCAAAACACCCATTCATATATGTAAAAAGAAAAACAAAATTTAGTTTTTTGTCTTTATCTGGGTTATGATATTTGGGGCAAAATCTATTTTTGTTGTGTTTGCTAAATAAACATATAAAAAAGCACCAACAGAATAACAATTTTTTTGCTTGCTTGTTGTCTCCTAGACTATTGCCTCTGAATCCTTTCCCTCCTGACTTACGGTGGATGGAGAACTTGGATTACCAGTGCTCCAGGCATCCAGGAGACCAGACTGGCTAACTGACTAGAGCTGGCCTGAGATAACCCGTGCTGGCCTGGGACCAACTGAGGCACAAGGGAAACCCAAGCAGCCAAAGTACGCGGGTATGCCCCTGCCGCGGAAATGGGTCTTGTCTGGAGAAGCCTCGGAATTTTGAGTCCTGCGGCCCTGGGTTCGGGACCCCGGGTTTGCCTACGTGTGGCCGGCCCGCGCCCAACGCTCGCTGGGCAGCCCAATGCCCAGCGTCCGCCTCGGCTTTGGCCTCCTGGTGGCCCTGGCAGCGGGTGGTGCTGTCGCCCTCTTTGGCTACTGCGTCTACCTGGACCGAAGGCGGCGCAGAGACCTGGCTATCCGGCGCTGCCAGCGGGACCGTGAGTGACTCCGGGGCCAAGGGCGGGCGGCCGAGCCTGGGGCTGTCCCCAAGCCGGCGCCTCGGGCACTCCGACCTAAGGCTCCCAGCCAGCTCATGCCTGTGTTTGCAGAGAGAAGAGTTGGACAGCCCAAGGCCCAGGCAGAGGCCAGGCAGGTGAAGTGCAACAGACTCGCCAAAGAGCCTTCTAGAAGCCCAAGGGGAGTCCTGCCAGTGCCAGACACCTGCTTTCCAAAGTTTTAATCGTTTTATTCTATTTTATTATTTATTTATTTACAAAGGGAAAGCAAATGAGGGCAAAGTGGGTCTGATAAGGATACAGTATGAGGGACTGGAGAGACGGCTTAGTGGTTGAGAGCTCTGGCTGCCTTTGCAGAGGGTCCAAATTTGATTCCTACCGCCTACGTGATGGCTCACAGACACCATCTGTAACCCAGTCCAGGGGAGCCAACACCCGCTTCTGACCCCCAAGAGGCACCAGGAATACGCATGATCAATGATATACATGCTGGCGAAATACCCATACACAAACAACAAAACAACGTAGTTTTTTTGTACATTTGTTTTGTTTTTTAAAGTACGAATAGAGCCTGGTGCACACGTGTGCTTGGGAGGCTGAGACTGGAAAAAGGAGTTCGAGGTTCGCCTGGACCAAACAAAACACCACCACAACAGAAAGGCTCTGTAAAATAAATGTAGGAACAGGCACTTTTTTACTTGGAAGAAAGAAGAGAGAATTGGACCTTCCCATATCCTCACAGCCAGTCAACAAGGAATATGACTGACTAGTTTTTTGTTTTTTGTTGACAGAGGGAGAGGGTGACCCACATATGAAAGTCAGAACACAGCTTGAGGGGTCCATTCTCTCCTACCGTTGGGTCTCAGGTGTCTACTCGGGGCCAGGTTTGGCTGACAGTTCACTCTCCTGGATTGGTCATCTTATTTATATTTCTCTTTTTACTTTCATATGTATGGATGTTTTTCCTGCCACATATGTCTATACATTACATACATACCTGGTGCCTGTAGGGGTCAGAAGAGGGCATCTGATCCCCTGGGACTAGAGTCACAGAAGGTTGTGAGCTGCCATGTCGACGCCAGGAATTGAACTTTAGTCCTAAGAAGAGCAGTCAGTGCCCTTAACCACGGAGCCATCTCTTCAGCCCCACCCCCACTGATAATTTTTAAAAAGAATTCGGTCATGTTGGTTATTGACTCAGCTTTAGTTAGTTAACTCCCACAAACCCAAAATTGCAAGAATACCTAACCATCTTTCAGGTGATCAGCCTGGGCCTATTTAAGGTCCAATTATGAGACACTAAGGTAGGACTGGCAGAGATAATAATAACAGCGGTGTAAGAAGAACCCCAAAGCAAGGCAGTGGACAAAGCCAGCGCACGTAACAGGATCCTAGAGAAAGACAGCATTCTCAGTGTGGAATCAGTACAGCGCTATTCAGTTTGGTTAAGCTTAGTGTCTGTAAAATGATCCTTGGCTTCTGGATCTGCAGTTTGAGCAGGTTTGCTCTACTCAGCTGCAGCGAGGAGGGCTCCAGGGTGATATGGTGAGCCAGTCGTCCTTGCTTGCCAGTTGATGCTGGGTGTTTTCTTAGGGGAAGTGGTTTGGGTTGTCGGGGTAAGCAGGCAGGCACAGATACTCTACATGCATTGAACACAGAACAGTGGTGTGCTGGAGAACACGCAGATAGGAGAGCTGCTGTGCAATGCCTCTTCTCACGGCCCCGAGGACAGCTCCGTTTCAAGCAGGGAGGAATAGACTCCAGCACATGACAGAGAGACAGCGTTCTGAAAGGAGATGCTAAGATGGGGAATACTGTTGTGACTGGCTTTTTTGGAAAATGCAATTTTTCTGCATAAAGCTTTGGGGTTGTTGCCGAGTCTGGAATGATACTGAATCTGGAGCATGGTATCAGGGGTGCCTTTAGGACTGAAGGTGCTACACACGCATGACGATGCAAAACAGGGAATATGCCAGGCCTGATCACTAAGTCAGCTTGGCAAAGGAATCACCATGCAGAACTGTCTGGTAAAGCTGAGCTAAGTAGGACAGAACCTGAGAGGACTTGCTCTGAAGGCCGGGCTACGGATCCAGACTTAGTAAGAAGCCAGTGCTGATTTCTGGGCATTTTTAAAGAATAAAAGGAAGAAAAAAAACAGAGAAACAAAATCCTTAGATTGGGGCTGGAGAGATGGCTCAGAGGTTAAGAGCACTGCCTGCTCTTCCAAAGGTCCTGAGTTCAATTCCCAGCAACCATATAGTGGCTCACAACCATCTGTAATGGGGTCTGGTGCCCCCTTCTGGCCTGCAGGCATACATGGAAGGAATGCTCTGTATACCTAATAAATAAATAAATAAATAAATAAATAAATATATTTAAAAACAACCCTTAGATCGATCAGGCATGGGTCTGTTAGAAGGATCAGAAAAGAGAATAAGGCCGGGCAGTGGCACACACCTTTAATCCCAGCACTTGGGAGGCAGAGGCAGGCGGATCTGTGTGAGTTGAGGCCAGCCTGGTCTACAAAGTGAGTTCCAGAAGAGCCAGGGCTGTTATAGAGGAACCTTGTCTCAAAAAACCAAAATAAAATAAAAGAGAGAGAGAGGGAATAAGTTATTTCGGCAGCATAGGGAATAGCAATAGAAACCAGAGTCTCTGGTGATGGTGGTGGCGGCTGGCCAGAGCAGAGGGAGCCTACCTGGGAAGGACAGGCAGTTCATACTATCTAGATAGAAGACCGAGACAAGAACAAAAAGAACAGAAAAGGAAAAAGTCAGAGTATTTGTTGTTTTTTAAGGAAGCAACCAGGGAGTGTTGGAGGAACAGGGCATGTATGTGGAGGTGTCTTTCCCTGAGCAGGTTCACTTGGGCAGGGTCTGATACAGCCCGTGTCCTCCTCTGTATCCATGACTGTTGCCCTTGCACTTTGTGTGTGCACTTTGTGTGTATGTGTACGACTTGACTTTTCCTTATTAGAGTAGGCTTCTCACAGCCTTGTCTGTTTACTCTCCATTGACTTGTATCCAGAACAGCATCTGGCACATTGTATTTGTCCACTTGTACAAGTACAGGGAGACTAGTGGGAAGCGGTGGTACCCAAGGCATGCTGTGGAGAGAGATAGCTGAGTGGAGTTCTGCTGTCATCTTGGAAGGCTTTGAATGACTAACTGAAAAGTCCATACATTTTTTCTTTTGGGAAACAGTTGTGGTGGTAACTTATTTCAGAGAATTTTGTGATTACCTTTTTATTTTATTTATTTATTTATTTATTTATTTTTGAGACAGGGTTTCCTTGTAGCTTTGGAGCCTGTCCTGGAACTAGCTCTTGTAGACCAAGCTGGCCTCGAACTCACAGAGATCCACCTGCCTCTGTCTCCCGAGTGTTGGGATTAAAGGCGGGCGCCACCACCACCTGGCATGATTACATTTTAAAAAAACATTTACTTTTATTTTGGGTGCATTGATGTTTTACCTGCTTGCATGTCTGCGTGAGGGTGTTGGATTCTGGAGTTACAGTTGTGAGCTGCCATGTGGGTGCTGGGAATTGAACCCGTGTCCTCTGGAAGAGCAGTCAGTGTTAACTGCTGGGCCATCTCTGCAGCCCCATAATTTTTGTTTTGTTTTTCGAGACAGGGTTTCTCTGTGCAACAACAGCCCTAGCGGTCCTGGAACTAGTTCTGTAGACCAGGCTGGCCTCAAACCCAGTGAGATCCATCTGCCTCTGCCTCCTGAGTGCTGGGATTAAAGGCGTGCACCACCATTGCTCAGCTGATTTCTTTTTTTAAAAAGACAACTGTGGTGTCAATATGGGAGATGAGATGGGTAGGTGGAGGGTTAAAGACAGAAAAGCAAGTCTGCATTAGAAATAATGAAAACCCAAATGACTTTTTCATTGTGTAGATGCATAAACCAAAAGAAATACTCTCTCTTCGCACCTCTCTCTGCTGGAGCTTCCTTTCCCCTCACACCAGAACCTTGCTTTCCCGCCCATGCTCCACTGGCCCAGCTCGTTAGACTTACCTACGGCCAGGAGAAAGGAGAGTGCAGACAGAGGTCAGCTGTACACAGTGGGCATGTCTGCAATCCCCTATTGCACTTATTGCTCTTAGGGATCTTAGGCAGAATTGTGAGTTCAAGGTCAGCTGGGGTTGCTTAGCACAACTCAGCCTGAAAAGGGAGAACACTCAGTAGTGTTCACCCAGCAAGTGTGAGGACCCAAGTTGAGCCCCAGACCCTACACTGACAATCAACAAAATCAAGAACAATAGAACTGGTTGTGGTGGCATGTACCTAAAATGCCAGTGCTTGGGGAAGTAGAGTAGGTAAATCCCTGTCTCAAAAAGCAACGTGGACTTCAGCAGTGGTGTGCACGCCTTTATCCCAGCACTCAGCTCGAGGCCAGCCTGGTCTATAGGTTTAGGACAGCCAGAGCTAAACAGAGGAACTCTGTCTCAAAAGACAAATAAAACAACAACCCCCCCCCCCAAAAAACAAAATGAAAAACCCCCTACATTGTGTCACTATCAAGGTCTGCTGTTAAAGGCGGGGCTACTAAAATGGAGCCGGTGGCGGTGGGCATCTCCACCTGGTGCTGGCTGCGCTTTTTTCTTAGAAATTGATTGGAGAAACATTTGTCACCCATAGGATTTAGAGATCAGAGTTGTCTTTTATGTTCTTTATCTTTGAGATAGAACCTCATCTTGTAGTGTTGGCTGGTCTGGAACATTCTGAACGCAAAGTTCCATCACCTGCCTAAGCCTCCCAAGTGCTGAGATATGTCCACCAGCCTGGCCTAAGAGGCACTTCTCTTTTAAATGTGTTTTATGTGTTAAGAGATACTTTAAAGATTAATTTTACAGTAACTATGTACCTTACATTCATTACTCATTGTTACGTATTTTGTAAATCCTTTAGTTATGGGATCCAGCAAAGAAGGAGAAACTACAAGAATTTTTTTTGCAAGAGGTGCAAATGGGAAAACTTTGTTTAGCTAGAGGTAAGAATAAAAACATTCTCAGGTCTTTTGTTCGTTTGTTTTGACTTTTTGTTGTGGTTTTTCCACCAGGGTCTCACTATGTAGCCCTGTCTGTTCTGGAACCCATTTTGTAGATCATGCTAGCCGCACACTCAGAGATCCACTTGCCTCCAAAAGCTGGGATTAAAGACATGTGCCACCACATCCAGGTATTTTGTAAATTTTAAAATCATTTTTCTTCAGAAAACTATTTAATTAGCTAGGCATGGTGGCATATGCTTACAAACCCAGTACTTGAGAGGCAGAGGCAGGAGGATTGAGTTTGAGGCTAGCCTGGACTATTACATAGAAAGGGAGAGTACGAAGGAAACACTGGTTAGTATCTAGTATCAGGTCAACTGGCTAGATGTGGTAACCAACTCACTGCACTTGTAAGAAGTTGTCTCTGAATCTTGTCTTGGTGTTACTGTCCCCACCTCCATGTTAGAATTAGCGTTGCTATGTTGAACCTGAAAAGTATGTCGATAGGGACACCAAGACAAATATCAAAAAGCTTAACTTCATTTAAATATCTCAGTAAATGAGGGGACTGGTGAGATGGCTCAGTGGTTAAGAGCACTGGCTGCTCTTCCAAAGGTCCTGGAGTTCAATTCTCAGCAACTACATGGTAGCTCACAATCATCTGTAACATAATCTGGTACCCTCTTTTGACCTTCAGGCATACATGCAAGTGGAACACTGTATACACAATAAATCTTTTTTAAAAAAAAATCTCAGTAAACGAAATTCCTGAATTATCAAATATTGAGAATCAAAACTTTTAACCTGAGTTTTGTGGAACATACTTGTAATCCCAGAACTCAAGAGGCAGAGTTGAAATACCTGTGAATTTGAGGCTACACTGGGCTACAGTGTCTCCAAAAGATCACCTAAAATGCATTATAAAAACTTTCCTGCCAGAGATGGTGACCCGTGCTTTTAATCCTGAGTTTGGCAGGGAGAAGCAGGAGGACTTCTCTGAGTTCAAGGACAATTTGATCTACCTAGTGAGCTACAGGATAGTCAAGCTTTATACTTAGTGTGGGACCAAGAGAGACCTATACTTCATGACCACTTGCTTTAACTTTTACCTAATTCTAGAAGCACCTGAGATCTCAATATTGTTAGTGACGGTAGGTGATATGCGCTCTGTACGAACAGCATTTGTAGCAATGCTTTCTTAATTTCGGTGCTAAGTGCCACCAGGGAAAGGAATCTGCTGTGACATAGATAATGGATAACTGATAATGATGGAGAGTAAGCTTTACATTTATTAAGTAAAATGTATTTTCTGTAGCATGAATTCTAATTGTTCTTAATAATAAAAACCTGGAATCAGATACAGGGTTAATACTGAACAATCAGAGCAGCAGAGTAGCCAACTACTAGAGTACTTACTTCTACCAATGCTCAGCCCGAATTAAAGGCGTGGGATCCCAAGTGCTGGGATCACCTTTGTGTGAGTTCTGTTTCTCTTTTAGACAGAGTCAATCTCATGGCTGGGATCACTTTTGTGTGAACTCTGTCTCTTTTAGACAGATTCAATCTCCTGTAGCTCAGTGTGGCCTTGAACTCACAGAGAGCCTGGTCTATAAGAGCAAGTTCCAAGACAGCTAGGACTATTACACAGAAACCCTGTCTTGAAAAACAACAAACAAACAAACAAAAATTGATTTATAAATCTTTTTTTCATCAGAATGTGTAACTGGTGTTAATATATAAGTCTTGTTTGGTGCTTTGATATTACAGTTATTTTTTAAAAGTTTAACCACAGAGGCAGGAGTTTGCAAGAGTTCCAGGTCAGCCAAGGCTGGTTACATGGTGAGAACTTTCCTCAAAACAACCAAAATGGGGCTGGAGAAATGGCTCAGTGGTTAGGAGCACCAGCTGCTCTTTCAGAGGACTTGGGTTCCATCCCCAGCACCCATGTGGTGGCTCACAACCATCTAACTCCATCCAGTCCCAGGGGAATGCAATGTCCTCTCTGACTCCATGTTTATACTGCAAAGACACACATGCAGACAACACCTATACACATCAAATACATTTAAAAAATAAAACATACCAGATGTTCCATCTCTTATACTTTACCAAACACGGATGGTCTACCTCATTCTATTGAAGACTACAAGATTAAAAAACCTTGCATGGCCACTCTCCATGCCCCAGAGCACTCCCAGTGCAAGAGTGCACATCTAAAGTGAGTAAATTATTTAATAAATTATTCAGATGCCTAGTGCCCCCGACCGGTGCTCTTTGCTCATCATAGCCATACTCATCTGTAACTACACTTCCAGAAGGTTGGGTGTGGTGGCGCACACCTTTAATCCCAACACTCAGGAGGCAGAGGCAGGAGGATCTCTGTGAGTTTGAGGTCAGCCTGATCTACATAGCAAGCCAGGACTACATAAAGACCCTACTCTAAACAAAACTAGCCCAGGGAATTGGGCTTCTTTTCCGGCCACTACAGGCTTTGTACTCGTGTACACACACACTCATAGACCACTCCCCGTAATTATTAAAAACAATAACCCTTTCAATTTCTTTCTTGCTTAACCTGTACCAATCTGTTTCAGGAGAGCACGGAATGGGGGTTGAACATCTCACCAATGCCCTTTTAGTGTGTGGGCAACCCAAGGAACTTCTGACGTTGTACAAACACACACTCCCTCCTGAGGTATTTCAGATGCTACTGTACAAAATTCCCCTTATCTGCCAGGTGAGCACGTACTTTATCCTTGTGAAACATTATATAACCAAGTGAACTTGATTACAGAGAAATGATGACTATGGTTGTGGACCCAAGGTTCTCAATATCTAGTTCTGGTTCTACTTTCATTAAGGTAAGACTAGCTTATTTTCCGTGTTCTATTATAGCGAATTATGTACTTTGTATGTGTTTCAACATTTCAATTTTAAAGCAGAGTGGTACTTGTCACTAACATTGACAAAACAGAGAAATAGCTTTGTAAACCTATCATACAGGGCTAACAGTGCGTGGTGTGATGTGACTTTAGATTGGTAGCAGATAAAGTCCATTTAGAAGCTCTTCCTTTTGCCAGTTTGGGTAAAAAAAAAAAAAAAAAAAACCAAACAAAGTACTTAGACTTACTCTTTAGAATTTTCTGCAAATGTTGAATCTGCTTCAGAATTTATTAGCCATAAGATACAAATTCAACTCTGGTTCATTTTATTCAATTGGTCACATAAGCTGCATGTTATTATTTACACTCAAACCATTCATGTTGGGGTGTGTGTGTGCACGCACTCAGGCACCATGGCATACGGGTGAGGGCAGGAGCTAACTGGGTAGTCAGTTCTCCTTGCACCATGTGGTTGCTGCTGATGGGACTCAGGCTGTCAGGCTTGGTACCAATGCCTTTAGCTGCTGAGCCCTCACTAGCCTGGACTCTGTTTTTAAACAAATTGTAAGGCTATATTACAGCATAACAGTCATACACATTTCTGAGCTAGCCTCAAAAGGGATGTTGCCTAAGGATCTTTAAAGTGCAGCCAGGATAAAATGTGCACTATCTAATGTGACAAAAGCAGCAAGGAAGAGTAGCCATGCCTTGGAATGACTAGCACGTAACTATTTTGTGTATCTACCAGCAACTTGAAGCAGACATGTATGAACAGAAGTACTTGAAGGATTATCCTGACTGAAGCATCTCAACGCATGACAGCCCAGACAGAATAGTGTGTTCTGTACAGAAAAAACAACCGCTCAGTGATACTTTCATTTATTTTACTTCTGGTAATAAACTTTTTCTATCTCATACATGATTGGACACGTTTTGCTTTTAAAATTAACAGTCACAAAGAAAGAAACTGGTTTATTTTTGTATCAAGGTGACCACGCAGCTGAGTCTTAAGGCTCAACAACACTGCATCATCTTACCATTTCACTCAACAGTAAGGCCTTCTGTTTTGATTCTTTCTGGTGAACAGTGATTTTGGTTTCTTCAGTGGTTTCCATTGGTCAGGTAGTCACGACAGATGGCTGACCACCACTCCTGCTGTGCTTCAGGGGATTCTCCCAGACGAATCCTCATTTCCAGTGCAGCAGCTGCTGGCAATCTTTCAGTGCACATCTGTGCCTTGGCACTTTTCTACCGGGGCTGGCCCAGGAGTCCTGCTTTGGCTGCCAGGGCTTCATTCTGCTGAATATGATATTCCTGAAATCTCATGGATATTCTCTGTGTCATTTTTAAATATTTCTGTAAGCAATGTTCTGAACAGGTAGCCTAGAAATACAAGGGGAAGGTCCAAAAGGCAACACAAAAATAAACATTCTTGTATTCTGAAGGAGATATCACTGGGAACTTTGCTTTTCTCTAGGTAGATCTGAAAATTAAATGCTATATTGGCTTGCAATAATCATAGCTTTAAACTGTTTATGCTTTCATCTACTGGCTAGAATTAAAGTTTATGAATTCCCTATTAGTCTGCAGGCACAGAAGCAATGGTGTGCCCTGCCTTCATGAAAGGTCTGGACCAGATTTTCTACAAACTCAAGGTCCAAATGTATACCCAGTAGAAGGTTTCTTCCTTTGTTAGTGAGAAACTTGTTTCTGCATATTCTTAATTCACAACCTTTACTTTTCTCTTGAGCAAGGTCTTGTTATGCAGCCAGGACTGGTCTGGAATACCAGAATCTTCTGCCTCAGCCTCCCAAATGCTAGGGGTTCCACACATGCTTAACTTCACCCACCATCAACCCTTTTGTTTTTACTATCTCTGAAGTGACCCAGACTCAGAAAGAATGAGTCTTCCAGGCTCGACCTCACATGCAGACCCTAGAGTATAACCTTTATGTGTATATGTATGTAAATGGTTATAAATGCAGGTAATACAAAGCTTCACAAGAGAAGGTAATGTTAGGTGGTAAGAATGGATGGATAATCCATTTAGTGTTGCTTATGAAAAAAAGAAAAAAAAAGAATGGATGGATTGTGGGCAAAAGGACACATCTCAGTCATGAATGAGGGTAATAAAGCTATTTTTCCCCCAATTTTAACCTGTCAAAATTTTTATTTTCTTAATGGTGGATCTGAGTTCAAGTTTCTGGATATCCAGATAGCAAGAATCACTTTTGCCTGGGAAAGAATCTGGCATGTGCTGTTCCTCTGAGGCAGGGACTGAAAGTTGGGTTTGTTTTTCAGTTGCACTGACCATCTGTGCAGTGGGAACTTGACATGACTGGTCACTCACTAGATCTACCCACTTTTGAAAAAGGGACTTTAAAAAATTTTGTTATGGAGAGGGGCTTTACAATTAATTTTCACCCTTTTTTCCTGCTTAAAATTATATCAGAACATTCTACTTAATGTTACTTAATATGTAAATTTTATTGCTATAGATAAAGTATGGTTTTTAAAAACAAAAGTATCACATGATCAACTCCATTGTCTACAAGTATAAAATTGGCAAGGAATAGCTAATACATATTCCTTTAAAAAATGAATATCATACTTGGTATCTCCTACACTTTGTAAGTTAAATTATCTAACAAATTAGACTTTGGCATGAACATTTACTGACTTCTCGACTGGAAGAAGTTTGTCACTCTCAGCAGATAAACATCTTTTAAGGACACTAAAAGCTGAGATGCCGATTAGACTGGGCTTCCGTGGTCTACACGTGAGCTATGTGCCACCACATTCACACTCCCTTTTTCTAAAGCCAATCTAGATTCCCAGGGCAGATCAGAGCTGTGCCAAGCTTCTCTAGCACTGTCATCTCGTATCACTAACTTGGTGCCGCGGGTCATGACTGACTGGCTCCTCTAGGCAATGGCACGTGAATGGCAGCCTGGGGAAGTCTCAGTGAGCAACCTTTGCATACCTCCTCAGGTTTCACCTCTCTCGTGGTGAAGTCTTTGACACAGTCCAGAAAGCAGTTTTCCGTGAGTCTGTTGTAGGTTCCCAGGAACTCCTTAAACTGGAAACAAGAAGTGTTTTAAGACTCAGCTTTCCCGCCAAGATGACTGGAGACTTCGGATACTCAGACAACTAGCCTGTTTCTTCTACCCCTTCCCTCATTTGGAGTCTCCTGCTGACTTAAGCAGCTTTAATGCACAACATGTGGTCTTACTTTCTAGTTGTACTTTTCTCCTCACCTGCTGTCCGACTCAGTTTTTATAGCTACAGAGGAGTGATGTCTGACGGCCTGGCTACTTAAGGGGCTGAGGATAAGGATCACCTGAGTCTAAAGGCCTAGAAGCCCAAAAGACAACATAACAGGATGCTTTTGTGGCCTCAAAAACAAAGCAGAAAATGCTTTGCCACCTAACACACATTTGAATGTTTTAAAATATGGTTTGAGGGAATGTATTACTTGTTTTGAGTAAGAATTTAACTCATGATAATTCCACCCACAAGCATGTAGCTCAGGATGGCCCATCTCTACTGCCCTTGGAGATAGTATCTCTACAGAGCCCAGCTGTCCTAGAAGTCACCGTGTAGACCAGGCTGTCTTTGAACTCTGAGAGATGAGCCTGCCTCTGCCTGAGTGCTGGGATTAAAGGTGGGTAACACCACATCTAGCCAAGATCCTTTCCCCTTAATTATAGTATCTTACCTGTTTTATCTGGTCAGATTCTGGTATCTGTGCAGCCATATTCTTTCAGTATGTTTATTATTCACCTGATTTCAAAGTTAAAAAAAAAAAAACTTGTCAATTTATAAGTGTATTTTTAAGATACCCAAAGAGATAGCTGTTTATATTTTATAAATTTCTAATTGTATATAATCATAAACCATCCATAATCTCAGATTTTAGTGACAGGTTATTTTTTAATGCCAGCTGTGGAACTCCCAGGTCCTGACTTAGTCAAATCTCCAACAGTAAGACAGTATCCTACTGTCTAGCAAAGCTACTTACTAAAGCCCCTTTCATAGCAGGGATTTAAGGAAAACCAAGGAAATTCTCAAATTCTTCCTAAATATTCATAACTATCCTACTGGTTATCAATTCTGGTTACTAATCTATGTAATCTACCAATTGTTGACAAACACTATTTTTAACAAATGTTATTTATAATTAAATCAACACTGGCTCATGAGAGATACTCAGAGTTCTCAAACAAAGTTAGAGGAGTTTTACATTCTTCTATTTTCTGAGACAGGGCTTCTCTGTGTAGCCCTGGCTGTCCTGGAACTCACTCCATAGACTAGGCTTACCTTGACTGACAGAGATCTGCCTGCCTCTATCTCCCGAGAGCTAGGATGGTGTAGAGTTCTGTTGTGTGTTGCTTTCATTGGTTAATGAATAAAGAAACTGCCTTGGCCTACTTGATAGGGCAGAACTTAAGTAGGCAGGGATAAAATGGAATGCTGGGAGGAAGAAGGCAGAGTCAGGGAGACACCATGGATCCTCTGCCTGAGACAGATGCCTGCCAGTAAGCCACAGTCACATGGCGATACACAGATTAATAGAAATGGGTTAAATTAAGATATAAGAATTAGCTAGCAAGAAACTAGAGCTAATGGACCAAGCAGTGTTTTAACGAATACAGTTTCTGTGTGGTTATTTCGGGGCTAAGCTAGCCGGGCAGCCAGGATGAACAAGCAGCCTCTCCCTACAACACTGGCATTATAGACGTGAGCTACCACTGCCTGGCCTAAGAGTTATATATTATTATATGGAGTTGACAATAAATAGGACAGTTACATGGAGCTGGGAATTGAACTCGGGTCTCCCTAAGAGCAGCAAGTGCTCTTAGCCCCTGAACCATCTTTAGCCCCAGAAGTCTCATTTTGATTAAATCATGTAACACATAATTCCACTTATGACCATGAGTGCACTACCCTACCCCCACTGAATTCCACTCATGACCGTGAGTGTACCACCCCACCCCCACTGAGTTTTTGATCCTTTTTTTCCTTACTAAGATGTTAGTGATGACTGCTGACATTTTTTACAAAGCCATACATAAGGGAAAGCATTAGGTCTTCTGCACTTGCTATTCTGGTCTCATTCTACACATTACAGCCCAGTTTTCTCTGAAGTAATGATTAATGAAACACATAACTGTTTACTTAAGAGGATGCTTTAATAGTAATGGGAAACGTTATTCTTTTTATGTGTGCCAGGAACAACAGTACTGCAACTTCATGGGTGTTAAGTGCCACTGACTGGTCAAAGAAGCCGGCCTCTAGAAACACCATGCACCATCTTCAGGGGACGGTGCAGATGTGCATTTTCTTTATCCACTCTCTGCAAAAGCTGGGAAGCTAGGCATCATATACAAAGGAAATCTAAGAAGAGGCAGCGAACAAGTAGCAGATCAGCTAGGGGCCTTGGGATCTAAGAAACACAGGGATGAATCCTTTGTATGCTGTTTTATAGACTTCAAACTGGAGAAGCTGGCAACCTCCAAATGTGACCAATAAAAAACAAGATGCCCTCAAAACCTAGTCTAATCAAAACATCAACAACAAAATCAGCAAAAGAAATGTATATATCCATATATATGTGCATATGTATATATATATACACAATACCTACATATAATATCTATCTGAACTACTGTACTAGCAAACACTATCGTTAAAAATGAAACAAGAAAACAACAAAACTTCCAATGGTCCACATCCCTGCCATCATATCATTAGCTTAAGCCAAATGGGAAGCCTAGACTTTACCCTCCAGAGGCTCCAATGAGCTACTCTTGTACTAGGGTGGTGTCAAGAGAAGGCTAATAAAAGAACAAGATTTTATTCCCAACAGCAGGACAAGACAACAACACATCAGTGGAAACCTTCTAAGAGACTGGTG